GTGAAGAAGAGCAGAATGTAAGTGTGGGGGAGGTACGTGAGGCATTACGTAGAATGAAAGGGAGTAAAGCAGATGGAACTGATGGGATCATGAGAGAAATGTTAAAAGCAGAGGGGGATATAGTGTTGGAGTGGTTGGTATTTTTGTTTAATAAATGTATGAAAGAGGGAAGGTACCTAGAGATTGGAGGAGAGCATGTATAGTCCCTTTATATAAAGGGAAGGGGGACAAAAGAGATTGTAAAAATTATAGGGGAATAAGTTTACTGAATATACCAGGAAAAGTGTACGGTAGGGTTATTATTGAAAGATTTAGAGGTAAGACAGAATGTAGGATTGCGGATGAGCAAGGAGGTTACAGAGTGGGTAGGGGATGTGTAGATTAAGTGTTTACATTGAAGCATATATATGAACAGTGTTTAGATAAAGGTAGGGAAGTTTTTATTGCATTTATGGATTTAGAAAAAGCATATGATAGAGTGGATAGGGAAGCAATGTGGCAGATGTTGCAAGTACAGTGGACCCCTGGTTAACGATATTTTTTCTCTCCAGAAGTATGTTCAGGTGCCAGTACTGACCGAATTTGTTCCCATAAGGAATATTGTGAAGTAGATTAGTCCATTTCAGACCCCCAAACATACACGTACAAACGCACTTACATAAATACACTTACACAATTGGTCGCATTCGGAGGTGATCGTTATGCGGGGGTCCACTGTATATGGAATAGGTGGTAAGTTACTAAATGCTGTAAAGAGTTTTTATGAGGATAGTGAAGCTCAGGTTAGGGTGTGTAGAAGAGAGGGAGACTACTTCCCGGTAAAAGTAGGTCTTAGACAGGGATGTGTAATGTCACCATGGTTGTTTAATATATTTATAGATGGGGTTGTAAAAGAAGTAAATGCTAGGGTGTTCAGGAGAGGGGTGGGATTAAATTATGGGGAATCAAATACAAAATGGGAATTGACACAGTTACTTTATGCTGATGATACTGTGCTTATGGGAGATTCTAAAGAAAAATTGCAAAGGTTAGTGGATGAGTTTGGGAGTGTGTGTAAAGGTAGAAAGTTGAAAGTGAACATAGGAAAGAGTAAGGTGATGAAGGTATCAAATTATTTAGATAAAGAAAAATTGGATATCAAATTGGGGAGGAGTATGGAAGAAGTGAATGTTTTCAGATATTTGGGAGTTGACGTGTCGGTGGATGGATTTATGAAGGATAAGGTTATCCATAGAATTGATGAGGGAAAAAAGGTGAGTGATGCATTGAGGTATATGTGGAGTCAAAAAAAGTTATCTATGGAGGCAAAGAAGGGAATGTATGAAAGTATAGTAGTACCAACACTCTTATATGGGTGTGAAGCTTGGGTTGTGAATGCAGCAGCGAGGAGACGGTTGGAGGCAGTGGAGATGTCCTGTTTAAGGGCAATGTGTGGTGTAAATATTATGCAGAAAATTCGGAGTGTGGAAATTAGGAGAAGGTGTGGAGTTAATAAAAGTACTAGTCAGAGGGCTGAAGAGGGGTTGTTGAGGTGGTTTGGTCATTTAGAGAGAATGAATCAAAGTAGAATGACATGGAGAGCATTTAAATCTGTAGGAGAAGGAAGGTGGGGTAGGGTTGGAAGGAAGGGGTAAGGGAGGTTTTGTGGGCGAGGGGCTTGGACTTCCAGCAGGCATGCATGAGCGTGTTCGATAGGAGTGAATGGAGACGAATAGTATTTGGGACCTGACGATCTATTGGAGTATGAGCAGGGTAATATTTAGTGAAGGGATTCAGGGAAACCGGTTATTTTTATATAGCCAGACTTGTATCCTGGAAATGGGAAGTACAATGCCTGCACTCTAAAGGAGGGGTTTGGGATATTAGCGGTTTGGAGGGATATGTTGTGTATCTTTATACGTATATGCTTCTAAACTGTTGTGTTCTGAGCACCTCTGCAAAACACGCACCCGTCTGGGTTTTCTTATATATTCTTACTAGTTCTTGTTTATTTTCGCTTATCTCCATGAGAAAGTGGAACAGAATTCTTCCTCCGTGAGCCATGTGTGTCATAAGAGGCAACTAAAATGCCAGGAGCAAGGGGCTAGTAACCCCTTGTCCTGTATATATTACTAAATTTAAAAGAAGAAACTTTCATTTTTCTTTTTTTTGGGCCACCCCACCTTGGTGGGATACCGCTGGTGCATTGAAAAAAAAAATTAACATACTGAATATTAACACCTTGACTGTTGCAACCCCAAATCCTAAGGTGTCTCCTGGTGTCGGAAAATTCCCCCCCCCCCCAAAAAAAAAATTACTTTTTTCTCATGAAATGACAATCTTTTCCCGATTGTAATGATACCAAAAGAACGAAATTTGATGGAAAATTGACTTCCCAATCCAAAACTAAAGCCTAGATAATCAGTTTTATCCCGAATACCTTCATAAACTTTACCTTGCCCACACTCCAACAGCACATCAAGTCAATAAACCACTTACCTACACCTACTCTTGTCTAACATGCTTGCACATCCCTGTTGGATGTTCAAGCCCCTGGCATACAAAACCTCCTCTCTCTAACCTTTCCTGGGAGGACCCTTATTCCTCCTCCCCTCCACTGCAAATTTATACACCAAAGTCATCCTATTTTGCTCTATCCTCTCTAAATGTCCTAAGAACTTCAATAACTCCTCCTCAGCCCTGTGGATAATACTGTTAGTAACCTCACACCTTCTAATCTCCCAATTATGAATTCTCTGCATAATATTCGCATCACACAGTGCCCTCAGACACATCTCTACTGCCTCCATCCACCTTGCTGCAAGGTTTAAAAAAACCATGCTTCACACCCATTTAAGTGATGGTACTGCTCTGCTCTGGTACATTCCCCTTTCTGCCTCCGTGGATAACATTCTTTGTCTCAAATGAATCAATGCACCACCTACATTTTTCCTTTGTCAATTCTATGGTCCACATAATCTTACGTAGACCCATCCACTGACAAGTCAACTCCAAAATACCTGAACATATTCACTTGCTACTGGCATGATAAAATAACAATTACGTGAGTTATAATCACAAAGCAAACAAAACTATTCACAGTCTGTTTTTCACATTCCAAATGTCAGTAAATTTGGACGAAGAGGAAATAGCCCCACTATTAATGTCCAAAGATATGCTGGGTTTTTATGCTGGCAAGCACCCTATGGAGAGAGTGGCACTCCACTCGAACCTAACCACTACCACCACATTCGCTTCTGCTTTTAAGGACAAAAAAAAAAAAAAAAAAAAAAAAATAAGGAAAAACTGTTCTCATGAGAATAATGTTGCTGGGATCCCACATAAATCACTAATAACCAAAATAATTTTTCTAATTTAAATAAAATACAGTACCTGCCTGAAGTAATAAAAATCTATATTAATGTGTGTATGTCAGAAAAATCCTATGCAAAATAAGTAATAAAATTTACTGTCAATCAATACTGGAAAACCCGGATAAACTAAACAAATGGAGCAACAGACATATGATGGAACTTAAATTTAGAAGCATTTTAAAATAGCCATCAGGTGTAAAAGTGGTAAAATACTAAAAATGCTATAGACAATGTTAGACTAGATACATATAAAAGAAAATTCACACACAAAAATAATCTTGGAAGAGAGAAATGAGTTATAACAATATCAGCACTGAAAATGCCCTTCTTGATGGATTAGAAGAAAAAAAAATCGATACGATAAAAAAACACGCATGATCATAAGATAATATGCATAAATTTTTTTTAGTGCCATCAACCAAAATACAAAGTTATAAAAACAAATAGCAGAAAATTTTTTACAAGGATACAAAATTTTCACAAAAAATAATGAAAACAATATAAAAATGTGAGAAAGGAGGTGGTAGAATATACAACAACCAACGAAAGCTTCAAAAACTATTTGACAAGCTAAACACTGAACACTATATAAGCAAAGAGAATAACTTTCTATAAATACAAGTAGTTATCTCCTATTCACTCTTATCAAAATAATCATAGGCACAACTCTAACCTAATTTAGCAGAGAGTAAAATATCTAAATTAAAAGGAGTGCATCTAGACTAGTGCCAAGTTGGTAGAAATGAGCCATGAGGAAATAATACTCTCAGGCTTCTTGTCTTCAAAAGAATGAAAAGCCAGAAAGAAAATAATAGACAATACTCTGGGGCACAGACAAAACTGACACGAATAGGATTTTTACAAAAGAAAACAGAACAACACACAGACATTATACCCAAATAAGACCAAGGATATTCAAAGTGGTAGGACCTGGGCAATGGTACTGAGGTTAATACCTTACAGAGTTTCAATAGTTAAGACAACTGTAACAACTGTCAGTTAAAAGTTAATGTGTGGGACCATGAGCTAGAACTTCTCCCCATTCTTGTAAATTACACAACTGCATGCACACACAATACACCTACACTGTGTGAAGTGTATTGGCTCCTCTAGGTTAATTTGGAGAGTATACACAAGCAATGAAAGCAAAACCTTGAGTAGAACCCTCAAAATATTATAGCTGCATATAATGTGCACTATGCTGATAGTCGCCTTCTGAATGTAACATGGTATGAATTATAATGTAATTTTTCCAGAACCAAATATTTTCTACTCTTAAAAACAATGATTTGCTAAGGTCCTGTCTAGGTATAAACCATTCCTGTGATACAAATAAACATTTACAGAAGTCTATACTGTACTTGCAAAAACGAAAACTCCAAATTTGGCTACACATACATATTCAAGAAACTAGGAATACAGCATTTATAGAACCTATAATTATTTCATCTTGTTACAAATACATTGAGATAGTGTATACATAAAGAAAAATAAAATTAAAACAAATACTGCTTTAATATGTGATAAATAATTCGAGGTTAGCAGGAAGCACTGGCAGAAGATCCTGACAGGTAAATAATGCACCTTATCCACTCACCTGGTGAAGACCCTGTACAGGAGAAAAAATACAAACTTGTTGCCACTTACCTCAAATGGAGATCACTCACTGCTTAAGCCTTCATGCCCTGTTCATCCACCTCGCCTCTCCACGTCCCCCTCTCAGTTTCCTCCCTAAGCCCTGTTGCCATCAGTAGTCACGTGGTCGTATGTGCCCTATGGTGCACGAATAAAATCAATCGATAAGTAATCACCATCAGTAATATTCTCTGCAAAGCAGACATAATACTGTATATGGATATACGACAAGATGGCTACAAAACTCCTTTCCCTCCCTCTACCCCCCCCCTCTCTCTCTCTTAGTAAATACGTACATCATAATTTACTTCAGTGCTTCACCTCACTAATTTACCAGGATTGCAGACTTAATTACATCATACGCCTTTAACACAAGTGATGTGTGTGTATCCAATGTACTAGCATGCACAATTTTTCATGCCTTCAAATTTGCCACCTCCCAATATTTTTAACCTCAGCACAACTCTTTAGGTCTTCTACAATTTCTTCATACCTCTAAAAAAAAAAAAAAAAAAAAAAAAAAAAAAACTAAGGCACGAAGAGTCCACACAGTACATCATGGTCCACTGCACAAGTGATGACTGTGTCCAACATTACACCCAACTAGCATTAGTAAACAATGAAATCAGGATCTGCTGTTCCACCACTGGCTAACAGGGTGTGCAAGTAGCATGAAGATGACTCATTTATTCCAAATTAATTACCATTTCATGATACTAACAGTAGAATTCTACCACAAAGCACACTAAGTTATGGAAAACTGTATTACAAGTATTCCTTATACACAGTGTTAGAAGACCAAAGTAGTACAACAAATATAATAATTAATTACATCACCAGTAAATACTGTTTATTCCCGGTAGAGTAATGTCAGGCTATTATTATCCCATGTCTGAAGTGCTAAAACATCTTGAAACACGCCTAATATTACAGTGGTACCGTGAGTTTCGTACAGTTCCCAACTCGAACAATTATGTAAGTGTATTACTGCAAGTGCTTTTGTAAGTGTATTTTCGGGGATCTGAAACGGATTAATCTAATTTACATTATTCCTTATGGGAGCAAATTCGTTCAGTAACAGCACTCGAACAGCCTTCTGGAACGAATTATGACAAACTCGGGATACCACTGTATAAGCAATGTGTGTACATAGTGTTAAAAATTAAAAGCAATTACAAAATGAAAAAAATCATAATTTGGCATTAACCCTTTGACTGTCGAAGGGCCAAATCCTGAAGTTGCTTCTGGTGTCGCAAAATTTTCGAAAAAAAAAAAAAATTATTTTTTCTTATGAAATGATAGAGAATCTTTTCCCGATTGTAAAGACACCAAAAAAACGAAATTTGATGGAAAACTGATGGAATTACGCTCTCGCGAAGTTAGCGACTTTGGCGATATTTAAAAATCGGCAATTTCGCCCACTTTGAGCCCTATTTTTGGCTAATTCCGTTATTCCAGTCAATCAAACTCATAACTATTTCTTCAGAACTCTATTTTTTCTATCGATTGAGTACAAGAAACTGCCCATTTACCGATTTCAACTACCCAATAACATGGTCAGAAATTTGCAATTTGGCCAATTTCACGAAAATTAAAAAATATGACAATTTCAAAATAAGGTCCAGAATGAACAATGCAGACATTCCTGCTCTAAAATAACATTTTCTTTGTTCATCAGTCATGTCTCCAGGTCCCTGTGATATTACTCTTGCTTTTTATTTTGAAATTTTATTCAAACAAAAAATAGAAGATTTACTGTTATGCAGACTACTGCAATACTGTAATAATTGTAAAAATTACATCAACCCATTCATGACTGCGTATTAGAATGGCTATTTGGACATTTATTGGACAATGACATCATTTGTTTACTTTTGAACATCGGCAAAAATCAAACATTTCCTGTACTTTGTGCTCCATTTCCAGGTTCTTTTTATAGTAAAATTAATCAAAATTACCTCCATTTCTATAATATAGTTTCCATTCTATCAAATGAGACCAAGAAAACGAGAATACAACCACAAATACTATACGAAAATAGACCACAAAGTCGGCATTTTAATTAAAAAAAACGGTCGGAGTTTTTTTTTTCTCATTATGCACTGCGTGCTCCAGGATTTTTTTTATGTGGTGCACACTGACCACACAGACCCATTCTCTCACATGTGGGCCTACTAGCTTTCTCCTGCCTGATTTGAAGCCGCTAGAATTTATGAGTATATATACGTCAAACACGGTACCTCGCAAATGTATATATACGGCCGCGACAGTCAAAGGGTTAATAAAATATAAAACAAATATTTCTAGCACATTCCACTGTTGTCAATGAGTGTCTTTTTCTGCCAACTTCAATACACCATAAAATCATGTTTTTATCAGATTCCACTAATTTTAGTCTTATTGAAATGATAAAAATGCACTCTTTCATTCTATAAGAATTTTTTTCAAAACCTTGCTCCATATAAAAAATTTTTTCCATGAATGCCACAGTTAACCCTTTCAGGGTCCAAGGCCAAAATCTGAAGTGGTGCCCCAGTGTCCAAGAATTTTCAAGAAAAAAAATTGTTATTTTTTCTTATGAAATGATAGAGAATCTTTTTGTGAATGTAATAAAACAAAAAGTACGAAATTTGATGGAAAATTGACGAAATTATGCTCTCGTGAATTTTGATGTGTCAGCGATATTTACGAATCGGCGATTTTCCCGACTTTGACTCCGATTTTAGGTCAATTACATTATTCCAGTCGACCAAGTTCTTAGCTATTTCACTAGTATTACTTCTATTCTATCGATTGAGCACAAGAAATCGCCAAGTCAACTGTTTCAACTACAAAATAAAGTGACCGGAAATTGGTGATTTGGCCAATTTAACACAAAGTTCAAAATATTCCAATTTCAAAATAGGGTCCAGAATAAACAATGTAGGTATCCCTGGCACTAAACTACCATTTCCTCTGTTCATTAGTTATGTTTTGAAGCTTTACAAATGAATTCCATTTTGATTTTTTATTCACATAATGAATTTTTATTCACACCAAAAAATAGAAGATTTACTGTTATGCAATATTGTAATAATTGTATAAATATCATCACCACATTTGTGAATGTATATTAGACTCACCAGCTGGTGTGTATTAGACGTGTGAGGTCGTTTGTTTACTCTTGAACATCAGCAAAAATTTAACATTTCTGCCACTTTGAGCTCAGTTTCAAGCCATTTCCAGTGCTAAAACCAATCAAAATTATCTCTATTTCTGTAATATTTCTTCCATTCTATCAAATGAGACCAAGAAATCACAAATACAACTATAATAAACATACGAAAAAACACTACAAAGTCGCTGTTTTAATCGAAAATCACGGTCTCAGTTTTTTTCCTCTCATTATACACAGTGTGCTGCAGGATTTGTTTTATGTGGTGCACACATACCACACAGTTGTATTCTCTCATATCTAGGCCCAAATTTACCACTCACAGTTTATCAGAGTGAGCTGAGCTCATGACGTAGATCTACGGTTTGGACCCTGAACGTAAAGCCGCAGATCTACGGGACGGACCCTGAAAGGGTTAAGGGGCTAAAAGAACACTGGATGCCATAATCAGTTGAATACGTTCAGAAATGATACAAAGAAAAACAGGCTCATCTATTAACTGTTATACGAAAGAATTAGCCTTTTTGTAGTTAATTAAGACACAATATTGTATCAAAACTCATAAAAGAAAAAACACATTTTTGTGCCTAAATTAAACTGAGAAAATAGAAAGTGACAATACCTACACCAACCATCTACTGTACCTAAGCATGTGGCATGTGTGACTCAGTTCTCCTCACTTCACTAAATACAGCCAAACCTCGGTTATCAAATGAATTACTTTTCAAATACAGTGGACCCCCGGTTAACGATATTTTTTCACTCCAGAAGTATGTTCAGGTGCCAGTACTGACCGAATTTGTTCCCATAAGAAATATTGTGAAGTAGATTAGTCCATTTCAGACCCCCAAACGTACACGTACAAACGCACTTACATAAATACACTTACATAATTGGTCGCATTCGGAGGTAATCGTTATGCGGGGGTCCACTGTAAATCAGTTTTTAAATGAGGTGTTCAAGAAAAAACGTCCTGGCTCTCGTACGTTCTCCTGGATGTCGACAGACAAGTTTTCAAGTGTACAGAATGGGACAAAGTGGCTCAGGTCACGTGCTCACAAAATGCACACTGGACAATGGGGACGATGTGCCCATTGCACTTGTCAATGAAATGTGTGCTAATGGTGTGAAGTGCAGGAGTTTGCTGAAAAATACCATCCAAACAAACCAGTGGCCATCCATCTCTCTAACACGTACCGTAACAGTGTTACGTCTTAATTTAGACAAGTGTTTAAATGGAAACTGAAACAAACCTCACTGCACAGGTTTTTAGTGAGACAAAAGAACCAGAGAGCCAGAACAAGGTGTTACTGGGGGAGAGAGAGAAAGAGAAACAACACCAGAAGGACAGTCGCCTGACATATTAATAGGCGACTCTCCTTCCAAGCATTAACATCCCCCTCCTCTCCTCCACCTCCTGCTTTCAGTATGCCATTAGCTCTACTCTTGACAGGTAAGGGGCAGTTACATTTTCATTTACTGTACAGTATTTCAGTTAAATTTCCATTTAGTATTAATTTTTACTTTCCCTGTGCTGTATAATTTTATACATTGTTTTATGTAGTAGTTAGTACATTATTAATATATTATATGTACTGTCATTTGGGGTTTGGAATGAATTAATTCTATTTACATTATTCTCTATGGGAAAAATTGCTTTAGTTGTCGTCGATTTTGGTTGTCGAATTGACATCTAGAACATCGTGTGAATACATTACTGATGCAACCAAAATTAGCAGAGTAGCCAACACACTACAAAAAAACTAATCAAGTTCTCTACCTCCCATTTATTTTTCAAATACAGTGGTAGATAAGACTCAAAATGCAGTAACAGAGGTTACAGAGGGCACAAGACAAAAAAAATAAGAGTAAGTGGGGATAAAAACATTGTATTTTTGTGGAAAGCAGTAAATGACATACCAGTGAGTGATGTGGGCTAACATTTCCCCTCTCCGTTGATTACTGAATTATCAGCCCGCTCACA